AAAATTACAGTTGTGAAGTAGCAATGAAAATAATTTTATGGTTGGGGGTTGGAGGTCACACATGAGGAACTGTATTAAAAGGTTGCAGCATTAGGAAGGTTGAGAACCACTAGGTTAGAGCCTCGTGTCTCAGTACTCTTTATATGTGTAGATGAGAACACTGGATATATATTAATATTTATTATGTATACATTGCTCTGCCTGCATGTATGCCTAGAGGCCAGAAGAGGGCACCAGATCCCATTACAGATGTTTGTGAATCACCATGTGGTTGATGGGAATTGAATTCAGGACCTGTGGAAGAGTAGGCAGTGCTCTTAACCACTGTGCCAACTCTCTCTTTAGCCCTGCCTTTTATTGTTTTTTTTTTTTTTTTTTTTTTTTTTTTTAAATGGGGGGTTTTTTTTTTTTTTTTTTTTTGAAATGTGGGTCTTCTGTTGGTTTGTTTTTCGAGACAGGGTTTCTCTGTGTAGTTTTGGAGCCTGTCCTGGAACTTGTTCTGTAGAACAGGCTGGCCTCGAACTCACAGAGATCCACCTGCCTCTGCTGGGATTAAAGGAGTGTGCCAAATCATATCTGTATGTATCCTGTTTAAAAACCCATGCCAAGTTTGAGGTTACAATCCCTGGGTTGTTACTTAGTAGTATCTTCCCCCTTTGCTTGTGTATTTTTTGTTGTTTTGTTTATTGTTTTGAGACAAGGTCATATGGTCCAAGTTGGCCCCAAATTCACTATGTTGCAAGGCTGACTTTGAACCCCACAATCCTCCTCTCTCTTCCTCCAAGTGCTAGGATTACAGGTATGGGCCACTACACCAGGCTTAAAAGCCATATTATTTACTTTGATACTTAGATTTAAAAAAACAAACAAACAAACAAACCTGACATGGCTGCACACCACCGAAATAACTAACATTGCAAATCACAGCCAGGCATGCATGCACTTGGCGTTTGGGAAGTAGATGCAGGAGGAGTGAGTTCAAGGCAAGTCTGCATTACATGGGAGACGGTGTACCAAGCAAAACAAACTGTGGCTGTCTGCTGAAATTGCTGGCTTCATGCCCCAATCTCTTTGGGTCTGAATCCTCTGGGCCAGAGTTTGAGACTATTATTCACTACTATGCCTTCCATTCTTCACGGCATGGGCCCAAACACAGGCACTTTGCTATCCACCTGCTTGGCAATGCACCTGCTGCAGCTCTGACCACTCAAGTCACGGGCAGGCACACACACACTCAAAATGATAAAAAGAAAAGTACCCGTCCATTGCTGTTTTCCTGCTGATTCTGTAACTAAGGGTACTTGGACTGGGCTGGGGCTGGAAGGACACTGAGTGCGTGCACAGAGGATTTTCTGCAGTACAGGGTACCAAACCTGGTTTACACATGCCAATTGACACTGAGCTGTCTGGCTGGGCGTTGGTGGCGCACGCCTTTAATCCCAGCACTCGGGAGGCAGAGGCAGGTGGACCTCTGTGAGTTCGAGACCAGCCTGGTCTACAAGAGCTAGTTACAGGACAGGCTCCAAAGCCACAGAGAAACCCTGTCTCGAAAAACCAAAAAAGCAAAAACAAAAACAGAGCTGTCTGTCTCCAGTAGAGGTATGGCCAGCTCAAAAACCCTCCTCCATCACTTCCTGTTGTGTGAAACTAAGTCACTTGTGCAGGCTGGGCAGGCTTCAGTGACCCCATCTATAAATGGACCACCACCAACACTAGGCAAGGGGATAGCTGACATAAACAGTGGGATGAGGTGAGAGCTGTGCCACCTTTTGAATATTTTATTCACTTGTCCTTCCAATACTGATTGTTGTCTACAGCCAGGTGGTGTCCTTGGATGCATCTGGCCAGTGACACATTCTAGATGTTAAAACAATTAGCAGCTAAGAGCTTTCTCAATGTCACCTGAATATATTCTAGTGTGAGCATGTTCTCTCTGCTCTGCATGGCCCTGTAGGTGGGTGTTATTAGAGGGGTGTGGGCAGCAACATGTTCAGGGTCCCTGAACCACAATGTGGCAAATGGCACTTACCTAACCCATCCTGGACTACCCAGCACGGTGTAGGGCTGTTGGTACTGGCTGACAACAGGCTCTAAGCCACCACCCTAAGAAACGAGGCCTGTTGGAAGCCCAGGGAGTGTCCAAGAATGCATCCAATTTAGAAATACCCAGCACCCTCCCAGGGGGAGGTGATGAGAACCTGGAGGTACAGTGGATCCTCAGAGGCTGAACACTGACAACTGCCGACTCCCTACTCCTGGTTAGTCCTGATGGGAGGGGATTTGCCCAGGGGATGTCAAAATTAATTGGAAGTACAATTCATTATGATATCTGAAATTTTCTCAGCCAGTACTCAACACAGCATGCTATTTCACTTTGCAAGATGACAGCTTGAGCCAAGGCTTATCTCCTGTAAGGGCCAGGCACTGGCTGTGCTGGTGTGTTGTTTGCTTGGAAAAAAGAAGCTACAGAGAAGGCGATCCCTGGCTGTTCAACTGCCCTAGATCTAATTCCAGAGCAAACACTTCAGATTCCAGATTGCAGCCTTTCAGAAACCTGCAAGGAGCCTCTCTCCAGGCAGCTAGTCTTTGGGAATGGAAGCTTACAGAAACAGCTTTGAAGGAATGATACGGGTTCCACTGAGGATATCACAGGCACACATGAAGTCGCAGGCCAATTTGAAGAGAATGAAATATTTACAGGACTGGGGATGTAGTTCACATGGTAGAGTGCTCACTGAGCATGTATGAGGCCCCAGGTTCAATCTCTTGCACCATGCATGCAATACAAACACACACCCTTTCATGCTCTCACCTGTTGAGCTAGCAGGGAAGCATTCTACTGAACTTTCTGCCAAACCTGAGATACAGGTCTCACCCTAAAAGAGTAGGTTTCAGAAAGGCAAGTGACAGAAGTAGGTAAATAGAAAATATCATACAGGAATTTTAAGTTTCTCCAGACAGCAGAAAAATAAGCTCCTAGAATAAATAATGCTAATTATACAAAGGCTTTAAAAATAACATTTATTTATCAATCATGTGCACATATGGAGGTGAGGACAATTTATGCATTTCCAACATGTGGGTCCCAGGTACAAAACCAGACTTGAAAGGTGCATTTATCTGCTGAGCCATCTTCCCCAGGATTTCCAAGCTTTCTATTGCATGGACACTGGACACACTTGGTTTAGGCAAATACCCCACACACCTCTAAATTAACAGTTTTATCTAAGTAGCAAACAGTTTCTGATGAGGCTGTTGACTTTTTCCATATGAGCATCCTTCAGTATTATTTCCTGTTTTTTTTTTTTTTTTTTTTTTTTTTTTTTTTTTTTTTTTTGAGACTGGTCTTCATTCTAGCTTTAGGTTGTCCTGGAACTCACAACGTAGCCCAGGCTGGCCTCAAATTGTGACAATTCTACTGTCTCAGCCTGAGTGCTAGGCTTATGGGTGTCTGCCACCATGCCTGGATAGTATCCTTAACCTTTTTATTTTGGAGAAAGGGTTTCTCTACAGAGCCCTAGCTGTCCTAGAACTATGTAGATCAAGCTGGCCTTGAACTCACATCTACCTGCCTTTGCCTCCACCTGCCTGCCTGTTTTGCTGGGATTAAAAACAAGCACCACAGCGATTGGTTTAGTATCCCTTTTCTTTCTTTTTTTTTTTTTTTTGAAACTGTTTCTCTGTGTAGCCTTGGCTGTCCTGGAACTCACTCTGTAGACCAGGCTGCCATGAACTCACATAGATCCACTTGCCTTTTTCCTTTCCCAGTACTGGTAATAAAGGTATATGCCACCACTGCCCAGCAGTATCCTTAATTCTTAAAGGCAATTCTAGACCAGCACTCAGGAGGCAGAGGCAGGTGGATCTCAGAGTTCCAGGCCAGCCTGGTCTCCAGAGCGAGTGCCAGGATAGGCTCCAAAGCTACACAGAGAAACCCTGTCTCAACCCCCCCCCCCAAATACCCAAAAACCCAATAACTAGGACAGATGGGATAAAATGTTCACCTGAGGTTGGGTGGTGAAGCCCGTGTTTTGCTCCCATAAACGAAGCCCATCAGAACCACTTGCCAGCCATAGCTTTAAGGAGCTGTCTCTGAACACAATGTAGGTGGACCTACCTCCTGCATTCAGATTTCGTTTTCAGAACATGTTCTCACTCTAGTCTAAGTTGGCCTGAAACTCATGAAGAATTGTACTCAAACTTGTGATCCTTGTCCTTCTGTGCTAGGACACAGGCATGGGCCATCATAACTAACTTGGACAGAACTGTGAATTGCTGCCCAACCCCAGATACATCTAAAAAATAAACAAGGTAGTACTTGGGGGGGGGTGGGGGAAGACTGGGACCACACATGCCCATGGCTCTTCTGATACAGATGAGCCTGCAAAACCCTGAGGGCATGAGGGTGAGGAAGGATGGGGACTGGTCCTCATACCTTTCTTTGTTCAGATACCATGTCAATTTAAAAGGTTAAGGGGATTTGGGAGGAGTGCTGATCTCAGTACTTGAGAAGCAAAGGCAGAGGGATATCACTGCACATTCAAGGCCAGGTTCCTTCCTCCACATATGTAGTCAACACCAAGCTCATCAGGACGGTAAAAGGAATTATCAACCAATCAAAACTAAACTCTTTCCCCAACCAACCAACCAACCAACCAACCAACCAACCAACCAAAATCAAGAGCAACAAAATAAAAAGTTAAAGGCAAGAGGCCCTTGAATAAGGGGGAGAAGCCACATCCATCAGGGTCCACTCACTAAGGTCACCCTGGCTGCCCCACTTGGAAAGTGTGGGAGAATGCTGTCACTTACCCTTGCCACCAGCCTTATGAAGCCCAAGGAAAGGCACTATTTTCTGTGCAAAACATTCACAAAGGATAACACACAATGTACCAAAAATCAGCATACTATTTCCTAAGATGGTCAGAACACTTGGTCAAATGATCCAAGCTAACAAGCACATTGCTTGGGATATCTGCAAACTGTGTTGTGTTTTTTTGTTTTTTTTTTTTTTTGGTAAGTTTGTTTTTTGCTTATTTTAAATACAAAGCAGCTCTCACTTTGAAGACCCAGAGCAGCTGAGTCAGGCTTTGGGAATGTTCATGGGCTCGGCTTCCTCTCCTCATGGGATCTCTGTTCTCACCACCAATGTGCTTGTGTTCATTTAACAGTGAGGTTTCTCAGGCAATGGTGCTGGCTCTTTCCCTTGTGCAGCCTTGTGGAGCCCACAGCTCCTAGCCCAGATACCAACATGGCTGATCAGATAGTGCTCCAGCAGCAGTCCATAAGGCTGCCTGATGCCAGGATGCCAGCATGCCTGGAGTTGGCTCAGTCAAAGTAAAGACTTACACACTCACTGGAGTAAAGACTGAATAAAATGCATTCTCTCTAGATTATAAAAGACTAGAATTGTTTAATAGAACAACCTGGAACAAACAAAGAGCTTTGATGGGCAGCACAGGACTAAAGCCTAGGTGGCCCATACCTCTCCACAGCCCTGCCCTGAAGGATGCCGACTGGACTCCCCTTCCAAGGCACACATCACAGACTTGCAGCTTTCCATCAGGCTAACCCACTATTCTCTAAATTCAAAAATATGTTTCTCTTTTCTCTGTAGTGGAGTGTCCAGTTGTGGTAGCCCTAGTCTAGCACAGGTGCAGAACTGCTTTGTTGATCTCGGGGTTTGTCCAGTCATTCCGAATGTCATCCAGGTGGTTATCAAAATCAACGAGCGTTTCATAGGAGCGGCTGTCCAGGAGTGATGCTGAGATCCTCTGTGCCTCTGGCCAATCTTCACAGTAGTCGCTGCAGAGCAAACAGGAGAGTGAGCCTCATGCCTACCCAAGACCTCACAGGCTGCTAAGAAACTCAGAGATGGGCCTAAGACATTGTGAATGGACAGATCCCCTCCAAACAGGGCACTGAAGAACCTAGAGGGACATGACGAAAGAATCCGTGTGATCAGAAATGAAATCAAACCCAGGAGGACCCAGACCTGTCTTCCCTGGAAGCCTTACAGTCTAGGCCCTGAGGAGGGCCCCGCACTCACTAGTGTGGGTCTCTGCATCGCCACCTGTTCTCATGGTGCTCATATACATGGATCGTAGGTGCTGCGCAGTCCATCGTGAACTTGGCATTGTCCACCTAAGGAGGTGAGGGTGGTGACAAGCATGAGGTCAATGCTGAGAAGAGCACAGACAGGCTCACAGCAAGGGAACTCTGCATTGCATGGGCTGAGTATGAGGCACTTCCTCACCTTCCCACAAAAGCAGAGCAGAGTGCTCAAACCAGATCCCTCCCCTCACTCTTAAGACTGTACCCAGATTATGTAGGCTATTTAGACCCCTAGGCTATCCAGGCTTTTAACAGCAGTGCTTGTTTTTGCTGGGCCACCACCACTGGGTTCAGTGAGGTTGGGGAGCAGGCCAGGACTGCTGGAGCTGAAAGCCCCCCGGGCCCAGTGCTATGACTACAGTAGTACTCAGCCCACTACTGTGATGTAACCTTTGAGGCCTGGAGTTGGGACAGCCTCAGGAGGGAAGCTCACATAGTAGCATGAGTGAGACTCACCATTATGAGTGCAGTGTCACTGAAGCCCTCAGCAATCCTGGAGGCCACCTTCTCTGCTACCTGGTTTGGGCTGTAAAGAAGGATTTATGAGCTCTACCATACTTTAGCTGAGCCACCAGTCACCTCTGTCAGTATAGTTCATCAACACCTGAATTAACAAGCAGTAATGGAGGCAACTGAGTGTTGGCCCAGTGAGATAACTTGGGGGCTATGAAGGCCAGAGTGAGTCCTGCCTCACTTCTCCAACAAGCCCTTGTAGAGGGGACCCTGAAAGGATGGGGCTTTCCTTCTGGGGCTCAATGGAGTGTTGCCTAGGGCAGGCTGATGATCAGCTGGGCTGGAGCCTGTACTCTCCACCATGCCTGCTACTCAAGTGGCTCATTCACAACCAGTCACAGGAGGTTCAGGGTCCTGGCAACCAAATCCAAACCAAGCCACTTTTAGGAATCTAAGCCATTTTATATCTCTATGCTGTGAGCCTTCAATCTGGTACCACCCCAGTTTGACCAATGACACTTGAATCTCATGTTGACAAATGTTCTCCAGCCACGCTACTGGGTAGGTCTGCAACTTTTGCTGTTGTAAGCTGCCTCTTTCTTTCAGGGTCCTCACAGGGAGACTGAAGGACCCACTTGGCTCTGTACAGAACTAGCTGTGTGCCACACAGCTTCTTCACAGCAGCTTTTGTACAGGGTAGACAAGCACTTATCACCCACCTAGAGGCAGAACCAAGGGCCAGAAGGCACAGAGAACAAGAAGTGGCAGGAGAAACAGGGGACCTGAGCAACAGGGCTTCCACAGGTTCTGGATGGTCCCAGAAGGTGCCTTGATGAATTCAATGAGCTCAGCATCTAGCTGGCTATCAACTTAAGAGTCCCTGGATGGATGTGCCTCCAAGAATAAGATGGGCATAGCTCTTGAATACTCCCAAGCCTATTCAGTGACCATAGAGGGGGTTCTCCAGCTCATTGTTTTATTTCTAAAAGATCCTGTGGGTCACCCCACTGTCCACACTGCATACGCACACTGGGGTCTTTTGGCTTCATCTAACCACACAAGAAAACCTCAGTACTTACTGTGTGGGCATTTTCCAGCTGTCCCCTGGCTTCTAGCTGGCTGCAGCCAAAGGAAGCCTCGGAGGACAGCAGAGAGCATGGAAGGGACATCAGTATCGACTGATCTGGGCCTCCCTTCCCTGATGTGGGACCTATCAGGCTGGCTGCTGGCCATAGGATGCTGTTCCTCTGGAGATGGCCTTCTTTACCAGCTCTTCCTCGCTGGCCCTGGAGGGCTGAGGGATGGAGGCTGCTGTCACCATCTTGGTCCCTGCACACAACTGAGTTCTATGTATGGCCCACCCTTTAGGAGTAAGCTGTTAATGAGCTCCTTAAGCTGCCCTGACTGAAGGTGTCCTTGGCTAGGTTCTTGGGACCCAGTCTGAAGCAGACAGTGAACTTATCCTGCTCGAGAGAGAGCCGAGGTGGTGGTGTCTTGGGTTCAGGAACCTGGACCAATTCAGGTGCCAAAGACCACACTTTTACCACAGGCTCCACTCTAACAGCACCAAACTCCAAACCACTTTACTTATGCAAGAGAGTTATTCTGCCCTCTACAGCCTCTTGTTTTGGAGTGAGAGGCAGCGGGCTGGTGGACACAGGCAGACCTGGCAGCTGCTCCCCCTCTATGAATTTCCTCCATGCACAACAGGAGGAGCCTGAATAAAATCCTGGCTACTCATCTGGCCTGTTGTCAGAACACCTCATAAAGAAGGGCGGCGGGGGATAGGGGCTTGCATAGGCTTTGAAACTGAAGCCTACAGAGAGAGGGTCAAGAGCACCTCAGTGATGGCTCTGTGGCTTCTCCCCCCCCAGCCACAGGTGTGTGACCCATACCTGGCATCCTTCACACGCTCATTAGCTTGATAATAGCCGGCGATTACATAGTTGTTCTCTTTGCACCATGAGTCAATCTGAGAGGAACACAAACGGAAAAAATGACCTTAGCACCATGTCTCAGTCTCTTAGCCCCACCACACATGTGACAAGCCATACTCCAAACAGTCCTTGCATTTTCCTTGATTATAATGAAATGAGAGCTCACAGAGGTCAAGGAAATGCACAAGGATGGGGCACTCCCAGAGAGGCTGTGCTGGGATCAGCAGCTGACACCACACAGAGGCAGTGCCATGCAGACCTGAAAGGGAAGCATCTTGATTCAGTCTCTCTCTCTTTTTTAAAGCACACAGCATGCTGGGATGCTGCCGTAAAGAGCAGCTTTCAGCAGCTCAGAGAAAGTGGTGGTGTTGGTGGAGCTACACGCAGACACAGACACACACTTTTTCTGAGGGCCAAAGCTTAATTCATTTTATTTTCTTTCTGTTGGCTGTTTATTTTCTATTCTTTCTCTGTTCTTTTCTTCTCGTTTCCGGTTTTCCTGATTTTGTCATTTTACTTCTTTTCTGATGTCTCCCTTTACATTTTTCCTTCACCTCTCTTAGCCCCTTTATACTTCCTCATAATCATAGGTCAAAATCACATTAAGAACACAATTTACATATTTTTCTTAGAAGCTTACACATAGTTAAACATTTTTCTTCACCCCAAAGCAATGATTCCTTTATAACTGATTAACAAAGTTTTAAACAAGCTGTATCTCAGCCACTTTCTTTTGTACTGGCAGGCAGCTGTTTGCAGTTTCAGTGTAATAGATTTCTATTTTCTACTCTAGAGAAACTTTACATGAGTGGTCAGTTTGCCATCTATTTTCCTTTACACACAACAGTGTCATTTAATTTCCTTTCACAACTTTTGTTTTTTCAAGGTGTATACTGGGGCCTGTGATTAATTCTGTAAGTTATATGACCAAGGAACTCAGGCTGAACCCCGGGTATAGGGACATAATTATTTTCTTTGATCATCAGCCTGTTTTCCCACAGGCAGAAATCATGGGTCTATAATGCATAAAACCTCCCTGTTCATATTTTTTATATCTCCTGTAAGTCTCACATCTAACAAAGGGTAAGGTAACTTTTAGCTGATATTTGCCTTTTTTGTATCTTTTATTGAAGCAATTGACAGAATAACCTAAACCATTTTCCTAATCATCTATACCAACTGTCCTAACCACCCATATCTTAGGCAAACTCAAAGTCCAGTTAAATCATAGATCTAACCAATCATCACTGCTCTTATAAAAATCTTCATGGAGCTAGAGAAATGGCTCAGCGGTTTAAGAGCACTGACTGCTCTTCTAGAGAACCCAGGTTCAAATCCCAGCACCCACATGGCAGCTCACAACTGTCTGTAACTTCAAGATCTGATACCCTCACACAAACATACAATGCACATAAAATAATAAAAATTATTTTAAAAATTATTTCTATTATGATTTGCAAGTACGTTGCCCAGTGAGGAAACAATCACACTATACTAGATACAGCGGGATCCTTTCATATAGTAGTCACACCATACCAAATACAGCAGGAACACAGCAGCTGCAAACAGAAGGAAGCACAGCACAAACAAGGGGAGACCCCAACCCCCCCCCCCCCCCCCCCGGGGCTGTGGGTCTCCAGAATTTACCCAGAGTAGTTTTGCTGTCCTCTGACTGTAGCACCTCTGACAAGGCCACCAGCATCTCCTTTTTTTTTTTTTTTTTTTTAAATTACTTTTCACCTGAAGCATATAAATTCTTCTTTGGGCTGAATGGATAGCAGATCCTAAATGTTTGAAAATGACTGGAAGAATAATTATTCCTATGATGATCCTTAGATTTAACAAAGCTCCATGAGGAATTATCTTTTGTAAAATTTTTGACTGAGTTAGCAAAGTAACTGGTTTTCTCTTTTGTTGAGGAGGCTTGCATTTTAGAATGACTAACAACACTAATCTGAGAATGGAGTGTGTCCATATTGATGGCAACTTGTGACACCTCATAAATGTGCCTGTATTTAGTCCCAAGACATTTCTGATCTATTATAAGCTATAAGAGTAACACAAGTGAGTGGTATGTACTTGTTGAACTAAAGCTGTAACTGAAGCTGACACAGATGTCAAAATCGCAATTAAAGGAGTTTATTGTTTTTGCCACAAGAATGCAGTAGCAACCCATTTACATACTGGAGGGACCAGCCCCCAATTTGACAGCCATGACAGTAACACAGGCTCGCTATGACCTTGCCTTAGTCACTAGAGGTTAGGTGCCTGCCTCGTGACAACCAATTAGAACCAATTAGAAGTTATCTGGTGGCGCTATTCGGACAAGTGCACAGCAATGACGCGCAGAACATAGCAGGTATCGGGGTCCCAGGCCATGACCTCGGTCACCCCAATCACCAGGCGGATTCCAGAGCTTGCTGCAAACTGCACGAGGCTTTATTGTAATTTAACGAGCTAACCCCATGTTAGCTTGGGTCTTTCACCCACCCGACTTGGTGAATGGCTAGCAAAGACCCCTCGAACCGGCTGCCAGGCGATCTTGTAGGGCAGGTAATGGAGTGTCTAGGGGTACAAACAGGCTCAGGATTGGTGTGCCTCCAGGCTTGGAGGGCTTGCCCTGTGTTGATTGGTTAACTGGTTGTTATGGCCCATAGGCCCTCCCAGGGTGGTTGCTATGCTTTGCGTCATTGCTGTGTGCTTGTCCGTAAAGCACGCCCAGGGTGGTAAAGCATAGCGCCACCAGATAACTTCTGATTTGTTCCTTGTCACGAGGCAAGCATCTGACCTCTAAGTGACCAAGGCAAGGTTATGGCAAGCACGAGTTCGGCCGATATAACTGCGAAAGGGGAGCTGGTCCCTTCACTCTGTATTGCTTGGGAGCCTGTCCTGGAACTCACTTTGTAGACCAGGCTAGCTTCGAACTCACAGAGATCCACCTGCCGAGTACTGGGATTAAAGGCGTGTGCCCACCAATGCCCGGCAAGTTAAAAACAATTCTTAAACAAAAACATGAGCTGGACATGGTGACGTGCATTTGTGGCTCTAGTATTTGGGGGCTAGGGCAAAGGATCTTAAGTTTGTGGCCAGAAGCACAGTGTGGGTCTTAAAAAACAATACAAAGGTCTTTCCTAGCCACCCGCCACAGTGGATGGATGAAAGGCCCGAGCTAACATGGGGTTAGCTCGTTAATCAACTGCAATAAAACCTTTTGCTGTTTGCATCAAAAAAAAAAAATTACAAAAATGTGTTTACAACCTGTTTTCGGGGCTGGAGAGATGGCTCAGAGGTTAAGAGCACAGAGGTTAAGAGCACTGGCTGCTGAGTTCAATTCCCAGCAACCACATGATGGTTCACTACAACCATGCAAAATGAGATCTGGCGCCTTCTTCTGGTCTGCAGGGACACAGGCAGACAGAACACTGTATACACAATAAATAAATAAATCTTAAAAACAAAACCAAAAAACAAAGCCCAAAACAAACCATTTTCTGCCAGGTGGTGGTGGTGCACACCTTTAATCCCAGCACTTGGGAGGTAGAGGCAGATGGATCTCTGTGAGTTTGAAGCTAGACTGGTCTACAAAGTGAGTTCCAGGACAGGCACAAAAGCCACAGAGAAACCCTGTCTTGGGAGAGAGAGAGAGAAAAAGAAAACAAAAAACAAACCACCAACAACAAAACCTGTTTTCAACCTTGGACTCTAGTTCAGGCCCCAGTCTCCTTCATGACTCGAAGCAGACATTAAAACAGGTCCAGTCTTAGGGTCCCTGAATCACCTGTGGACTAGAATATTTCCAGATTCCTGAGAATTCATGAGTTACCATATTGGGTCAAAACCAGGGCTCGCTGAACCAGCTAAAAATGCCGGTCATCCACCCAAAAGATTAGGGTTATGACACCAAATATTTATAATGGCTCCACTGCACAAATCCCTGTAAAGCTAGTCACATGTTGCCCTCTCCTCTTAAGGGAATAGGTGCTGGAAATGTCCCTACCTAGAAGTTTCCCCAAACTTATCCCCATACATCATCAGTGGGCCTTGTTCTAAATTTTGGGTTTGGCATCTTTACCTGAACTCAAACCTAACAGATCTGCTGGCTGTTTCTAATCAAAGCTGACCTTTGAGTCCTTCCTGCAGCAGACCCCATATCTGGCTAGCTCTCTCAGCTCTTAGGGCTGGGTCCCCTTGTTTCAGGGCCTACTTGTTTTTCCATTTACTGCTCTTGAAACAAGGTACTCAAACACGGTGGCATAGAACAATGTTAATTCATGATCTCACAGGTGGGAAATCTACAACAGGGATGAGGCTGGTTCTTTCCATGAGCTCTTTTGCTAGCCTCTCTTCTTGGACCTAGTCATACCCTCCTGACTGCATCTGTCTTCTCACCATACCCCTGACTCGTCTAACAATCCCTATGCTTACTCTGGTCCTACACAGAGAATCTAGGACAATCTCTACCCATGAATATCTTTTGAAGTCTGTTCAGATGACCACAGCTATATTGTATTTATTATTGAGGTACAACACATATTTCACTCAATAGCATCAGCCTTCAGCAATCAGTCTAATCTGGCTCTTTGGCTAAAAAGTCCAGGACTCACCTTTTCCTCAAACATACGTGATACTACCTTGAACTTGTCCTCTGAGCACAGATAGTACTTGACAAAAGACTGATTCCTGTGACAAATACAACACATACTTCAACCTACATATGTTTGCTGAGAACAAACTTCTATGTGAAAACTCCAATCACTTAACCAAATTCCAATGGGATAAATAATGCTATGACCTAGTACTTGTAGAACTCTGTGGGGAGGCTTAAAGTAAACCAGGGCATAAAAGCTCTGCCTTGGCTTTAGGAACTACAAGTTTTTACACTGTGCATGTGCTTCACCAACTCAGAGATACTTAGGTCCCACATACTGCCTACCCACTAACAGAGGAATGACCCCTTGTACCACTAGAGCTCAGAGGCAGAGAAACATGTTTTAAGAATAGGGAAAGAGGGGCCAGAGACAGGACCCAGTGGTTAGAGCACCACCTACTTTTGCAGAGGACCAGGGTTTAATTTCCACCACCAACATGCTGGGTCACAACTATGTTAACTCCCATCTGAGGGGAGTTTTGACACGCTGGCTTCCACAAGCACCACATACATGTATGTGGTGCAGACATATATGCAAGCAAATACCTATACACATGAAATGAATTTATTTGTATGTAGGTTATATGAACAGGAATGCAGGCACCTGCTGAGATCAGAGGTGGCAGATTCCCTGGAACTGGACTCACAAACAGTTGTGAGTCACCCAACATAGGTGCTGGGAACTGGATTGGGTCCACTGAAGAACAGCAAGTGCTCTTAACTATGGAGCCATCTCTTTAGCCCCTGAATAAAAAAATAAAGCAAAATAAAAAAAGACAAGGGCAGTTTGAGATGAATGAGGTAGTAGAGGATGGGATAGACTGTTGGACAGAGGTTTGCAGTGGACAGGTATATAGAGGCCTTAAACCTGAGTTAGCCCAGTGTGTGGCCTGGAATAGTGGCACATAGTCAAGTAACCCGGCCCCTCCCAAGTGGGACACAGCAAAGCATAACCCTAAAGCTGACGTCTGCTCATGTCCATTGTCCTGTCATGGCTATCTGAAAACCCAGGCCTCTACCATGTAGCTTGTGAGAATGGAACAGGAACAGCAAATATTAGCCCTGGCCATAGGAAGGTTAGCATGTCTAATATAGACGTCACACCCTCCGCTGGCATGTCTTCACCTTCACAGGGAAAGGAGAAAGCTCTTACTGGGGACAAACCTGCCCCCTCTGTTCTGGGCCAGTCACACTGGAGACCCGCTGAGGGGCCAACTCTTTGGTTCCTGTTAAGATTCTGCAAAGGTGGCCCCTCTCTGCAAGCCTGCTAATGTTCTAAGCATCGCCATCTATTTTAGGTAATCCCATAATAACCAGAGAATAGGAAGGCCAAGAGTCTCTCGAAGGAGGGCACCACTCCTGACCCTGCATAACCACCAAGTGGAGGGCAATGGGGTGAAACATTCTGTCTGTTGCAAGAAACAGGCCTTGGCTGGGATTCTGAGTTTCCTTCTCCTTGGAAGAGAAGCTTGGGAGGCTAATGAGCAGGGAGTGGGGGCATATGCTGAGGAAGAACACCCAGGGCAGATGGGACAACAGCCGTGGAGCTTGTAACAGAAACAGCTCAAAGAATAGTGGCCTGAAATCACATCATGGTGAGCAAGAGCGTCACCTGAGCAGAGAACTGCCCACAGCAGAAATCAAGGCAGGGAAAAAGACAAAGGGGCTTAGAAAAACAGGCTCATGCTAATTTTCCTACCAACATTTTTATGGTTTTTTTTTTTTTTCTGCTATTAGAGGTAATTCCTTCACTGCCTACGTCAAAGGGCTGAGGATAAACAATAGGCATAAGTACTTAAACAAATGAAAAGCACCCAGAAATGCAAGGATTTTTTTTTTAATGGAAGATAATAATAGAAATCCCTTCAAAGGAATCTCATATTGCCCTTGCCAGACCACATGTTAAAAAATAGCTAGCTGAGCATTCCCATGTTCAACAATCCTTCCAGTGTGGGCTACCAGAATGGGGCTTCACCACCACAGCTGCAAGGATTCCGTTGCTGTTAAAACTTCCATAGGCTGCACTTTGACAGTGGTAGGTTCCAAACCCAGACTTCTCATAGCGTTCGACATGCAAGGTTGCACAGTTGAAAAGTAAACAGCACAAACTTAAGAAACTTAATTAATGGTTGCAATGGGGGCTGGTGAAGACAGTCCAAGGGTGAGTGGGGGAGAATACTCAGGGCAGAGGGCGTGTGCAGGAGGAATAGTAGTAGGAACACCTGGGGTGGGGGAGATATTCAGGGCAGAGGGCATGTGCAGGAGGAATAGTAGTAGGAACACCTGGAAGGGGGTGTTTGGGAAGAGACACAGTAGATAAGGAAACAGAAGCAGAGAGAGGGGAGCAGTGGGCATATGGGGACTTTGCTGCTCCTATGGACACAGGGCTACATCCTGGGGACAGACAGAACACTAGTCTGAAGAGGTCCTGTCCGGTTCCAGGTCTTCAAGTGGAGCCACTATAGAGGATGAGAGTCATCTAAGAGTGTGACAGGAGACGAGGGATGGATCAACAACGAGCTCAAGGGAGGGCAGTCCACAGGCCTCAGAATTCATCACAATGGAGTCGGGAACCCAGCAGAGGATAGATTAGCATTAACACTCTGTGGTAACAGCATTTGGTGCACAAAGAGTCTGAGACAGTCAAATGAACTCCTGGTGCTCAAAATTGATAAGTGGGTCTGGGCTTGAGGCTTAGATTTAGAAAGGCAGAGCTTTCCAGCACCTGAAACCCCCAGGGCAGATCACACAGCCTGGCTTGAATGTCCTGACAATTCTAACCCTCAGATTTAGATGAACTGACTTCATTTTACTTTGTGGGTTTTTTTTTTTTCTTTCTTTTTTTTTTTTTGATTTTTCGAGACAGGGTTTCTGTGTGTAGCTTTGGAGCCTATCCTGGCACTTGCTCTGGAGACCAGGCTGGCCTCGAACTCACAGAGATCCACCTGCCTCTGCCTCCCGAGTGCTGGGATTAAAGGGGTGTGCTACTACTGCCTGGCTGAACTGACTTTTCTTTTTAATTTATTTTTATTTAAATTAGAAGCAAGCCTGCTTCACATGTCAATCCTAGCTCCCAATCCCTCCCCTCCTCCCCCATCTCATCCCCCCCTCTGCTACCCAGGGAGGATGAGACTTTTTTAAGGAAAAAACAAACAAACAAAACAAAAACTAACTTTACCGGAGTGCTGGGATTAAAAGTCAGCGCCACTATGACAGCTCTTACTTTACTTTTAACCTCAGATCCAAGAGTGGGTATCGGACATGTGAGTTCAGTGCCCACAGGAGCCAAAAGAGGGAGTCAGATCTGGAGTTACAGGCAGTTGAGTGCCAGACGGAGTGCAGGAACTGTTCCTCTCAAGAGCAGTTAAGTGCTCTTAACCACTGAGCCACCCCCAGAACCCCTCTATTGGCTGGTGTTTCTTTGATATGGAGCTTGTCAGGCCACTGCAAATTCAAGCCTGAGTCGTGAGTTCAACCCACCACAAGTCACACTCAGTGGAGAACCTGAGAAACCTGCCAGGTTCAGATTCAGCCACCTGCAATTTCTTTGCTAAAAGAACAAGACTGGCCTGGAACATGAGCAAGAATCTCAGCAAGGCTTCAGGCACCAAATAGCACACTTCTTCAGGAACTGAAATTCTTCAGTTTATGTGTCCGCTCCCAAAGAATCCAAATTAAAAAAAAAAAAAAAAAACCGACAGGGGGGGGGGGGCACACCTTTAATCCCAGCACTCTGGAGGTAGAGGCAGGCAGATCTGTGAGTTCGAGACCAGCCTGGTCTACAAGAGCTAGTTCCAGGGCAGCCTCCAAAGCCACAGAGAAACCCTGTCTCGAACTCCCCCCCACCCCCCCCAAAAAATACACTAAAAAATATGCTCAGTAAATTTAAGACAATTTGCCTAAAGGCACCTGCAAATAGTCGTAAGTTTCCTCTGGTGTTGTAATGTAAATTAAGAAATGGATAAACCAGCTGGGCGTTGGTAGAGCACACTTTTAATCCCAGCACTCAGGAGTCAGAGGCAGGTGGATCTCTGTAATTTGGAGGCCAGCCTGATCTATTTAGAGTGTTCCAGACCCCAGGCTACAAAAGTGAAACCCTGTTCCAAAAACAAAAAATGAAATAGTTGGCAAGGCATGCTAGTTCATGTCCAAGTTCTCAGGACCCTAAAGCAGGAAGAGTGTTGATGAAAGGGGAAAATTAATAAATGTCTAAAACCGGGACTCCAAAGCCCAAAAAGGAAACTCTGAGTTCCCAAAAGGCAGAAGACAAGGTTAAACAAGGGTCCACAGGACTCAAGCCCCTAGACCAGATATCACACCCTAGAAAGGTGTCCACATGTCCAAGGAGGATCAGATAGTTATAAATTGTAGAAACCCAGGAGATAATTAACAAACTCATTTCCTCTGCAGCATCCTGCTTAACTAACTGCACCTTGCCTGTAGCATACAATCTTTGTTCTGTCCTGTGTAACCACGGAAGTTTTGTAATCTTGGGGCTTCCAGCCCTACAATTTTCCCTTATAAAAACATCCCTCGGTTGAAATTGGGGACTCCATTTGTTCCCGAACGAATGGGGTCCATGCTGCAGTTCGTATCCTCGAGTCAATAAACCTTTGTTTGCATTCGGTGAGTCATCTCCTTGTTGGCGGGTTCTTTGGGGGTTCCGAATTCTGGGCACAACATCCAGAGCCCAAGGCTAGCCCGGGCTACACACGTACCAAATCTGTCTCAACTTTGCTAGAACAGCAAACTCTTCAAGACCTTTTGTTTGTTTGTTTGTTTGTTTGTTTGTTTTTTTGAGACAGGGTTTCTCTGTTTAACAGCTTTGGCTTTCCTGGAACTCACTCTGTAGACCAGGTTGGCCTCAAACTCACAGAGATCCACCTGCCTCTGCCTCCCGAGTGTGGGATTAAAGGCGTGGGCCACCACCGCCCAGCAAGATCAGTCAATTTTAAAAACAGTCTTCAACGTCTGGGGGGAAAAAGGCAAGTGGGCTGACAGGGTACAGCCTGTACATGCTAGAGGCATTTTTTTTTTCTTTTTGGTCTGTCAGCCATAGTAGGTTTAAACTTTAAATTTAACGTTAACTATCGCAGGGTTCCTTATTGTAGACCAGGCTGACCTCGAACTCAGAGAGACCCACCTACCTCCAGAGTGTTGGTTTGAAGACTGCACACCACACTCGGTTCCTCGAGAGCTCGCTATGCTTGCTGCCTACCCAGGAGACGCTGGTTGTACGAAGGGCACCTGACTTCGCCCAGCTCAGAATCCCGCGTGACCCCGCGTATCCCGCTTACCAGGGTGAGCGCCACCTCCAGCATGGGCGCCAGGGCCAGCGTGCCGTGGAAAAGCGGGATGCAGTCCACGAAGAGAGTATGGCTGCCCGCGCCCGGCGGATGCTCCTTGCGCGGCCTCTGCCTCTCGGCCACCAGAAGCCCGTTGACCGCGCAGTGCGGGTACTTGGCGCCGTGTAGCACCATCTTGCAGTAGGCCTGGGTGGTCAGCTTCACGCCGGGCATGCTGAGTCTTGCCGGTCACGTAGCAACGGAGACCCCCACTGTACCAGACACGACCACACTATACTCTGAGGCGAACTCACGCCTCCTCCACTAGCAACCTCCCGCCCCGCCCCGCTCGCTCGCCCGCCCGCCGGAAAGCGTAGTCGCGAGTGTCTGCCGGAAAGCAGCGTGGCCCGCCCGGCCTTTTGCAACAGTTGCGGCGCCGCGACCTCCGTATGACGAGTGTGGGCGGGGCTTCCTCGATCCCGCGGTGCTCCGCGGCACCATCTTGCTCTTCCGGTACTGGCCCTACTCTTCCGGTCGCGAGCAGCCGGGATCTAGAGGGCGGTCGCGGCGGTCGCTAGGGCAGCAGTGGCAGGGGGCCGAGCGGGGGGGGCCCCCGGCG